TTAAAACCCTTTGGTGGGGTACACATGAATATTGGTGGGCAATGCATAGTAAATGCAACAATCTTTTACAACAACAGCTCAATGCAATAATGTCATTCACATTTTAAAGTGAGAGCAGAGAAGTTTATTGTGTGTTTGAGAAGCACTGCTCACGGGATAATAAAGTTCCCAAGTCAGAACATGACTAAAGAGATGACCAGGCCTTGACTGAGTAATGAAGATATCTTCAGGTTATCAGCAGTCTCTCTCAGAGACTTTGTCTGGAGAATGAGATATTCTGTTTCATCTAACAGCAGGCTATTCCAGAGAAAACAGGGAACTGGCTCAGCGAGAGACAGGCCACAACCAGGAAAGCAGAGGGTCACAACCAGGAAATCCAAGGCTGTCACAGCCTCCTGATCCTTCTGTATAATCAACTGCAGTTGGTCCAGAACTAGAAATGTCAGAAATAGCCTGTGCATCAGCAGACTGATTGTAGTTTGTTTTCTGCTTAAAAATGATCACCATGCTCAGAGGCTGTCCAGGGGTAACACGTTGACAGCTGAGAGACAGGAATAGTGATGGAACATTCCACAACAGGATGATCAGTTCAATGCAATGGCAGAACTGTGTTAATACACACAGAAGTCATACTCAGTACTAGCTTTGTCATCTTTTCATTTTGACAGTGCATCTTAAAAAAAGTTTTCATACACTTAAATAGGATTTGTTGATACTTCCTACTTTTCATCAAGTTTTTCTACTGAAAACTTAATAAAATGTAGGTTTCTTTGATTCTGCATTCTATGATATTGTTTGATACCGATATTTTTAAAATATTAAAGTCCAATATATATTTAATAAAGCAGCTAAATTTAAGTTTCATTTCATGGTAATCACACTGCTACTAATTTTGAAAGGATTCTCTGCACTGTCTCAAGAGATTATACACTCTCCAAATACTTATTATTAATGCCAAACCATTGTGAATTACTATTTCAATAAAGAACAAAATATATGTAAGACTTAATGAACAATAACTTTAGCATCCACAAAATTTAAAGATGAAAGCTATTGTTTCCACTGTACTTTGTTAAAGAGCCATTTACTACAAATTATTGTAACCTTTCATTAAACGATGTATACATTTATATATACTCTATGTAAAAAAACATACATATGCTGTTTATTGCAGAGCAGCAATGTATCTGCTGAATATCACCAACAGTTTTATACCAATCATCCACTTCCACTTGTAAACATCAAGAGGATGACACCAGTTCTGCAGGGAACATCTTTCACATTATTTGAGACTTAAGTGAAACAATTTAAAATTGAATAGTTCCATCTGGTTATTTGACAATGTAAAGAATGTATTTCCTTGGTATGCATGGTCTTTTCAAGGGCCAGCATTAGGTCACAAGATCATATGTAGTGCTGATGAGCAGGAAATGAGCATCAGTATTACCTAACAGCCCTATGAGCACAGAAAAAGATATACAGTACAGTAGGATTCCCATTGCATTTGTAATGAATGGATTCATCACCACTATGTGCCAAATGTGAAAACAAAAAAAACATGCAAAACATGCAACTATCCTTTCTAAGTAATTATTCACAATGTAGACCTGGCTTTAAGTGGCATTGATGCTAAAGTCAGCCCTTATTACCCAATGTATTTCAAGACTGCCTTACAAGCAAAGGAACAAATAATTTTCTTTTTCAGGTCTTTCTGATGTGAATTTGTTTTCTTTACGAGGCCTAAACCTCATGTTTCCATGCTAACTCCCACACTGGTTTGAGTTTGTGCTGTGGTCAGTGAACTGCTTTTACATTGAAGTGCCGAGTCAGAACGGCAATAACACCTGCAAAAACAGATTGAATCCAGAAACCCAATAGCATAGGGTCTTTGAAAGTCCAAGTCTAGCATTCTTTACAGACTTATTTCAGCATCTTTATTTATGCCATTCTCATATCACCAGTGGAAGGCCCATTAAAATACAGTACTTCTCCAGATTTCACACACTTTTTTCTCAATGTAAACAAGCTCCTATTAGAGTGGCAGAGTTCTGAATTTTAAACGGAAGGGTACTAAACAGAAAAAACTCAAGATAAGATTGAAGATAAGACAGGAAACAGAAGGGTTTAGAGCAGCTGGCAAAGATCACCGACATGCAGTGCTGAGGGCAAGTGAGGAAAAGGGCTATATACACATTTTGGATAAACGTTCACATGCTCAAACAAACCAGAAAGAAAAAATAGGCAAGTGTGGAGTGAACTTTGAAAGAACTCAGTTCTCCTTTAACTCTTAAGTTACAGTAAATGGCCAATGAAGAGTTACCATACATTTTGGTTGTTTAGTAACCCAGAGTAAGTGTCACTTTGCCCTGTTGAGCTCTTGTGTCAGCTAGATTTAAAAAAAATATAAATAAAAAAGACAGTCTCAGCAGTCCCAACAGTACTTTAGTTACTAAGGCTTACAAGTTAACCAATTGTAAAGATAGCAAAATAATTCCTTATCTTCCCCCAAAGGAGAATAATGATTTTACAGTGGCACTTCCTGGAAAGCAAGGACAAAGCATTAGATGGTGCAAGTGCACTGTCCTTCTGAAAAATAAAACTACACTTTTTTAGCAGAGAAAATGCATGCACTAAATGTAAACTAAAAGAGAAAAACACCACTTTTTGCTTTTTATTTCTACAAGTACAGAAAGTTCAATTATCTAGAAATAAATATGAACAAGTACAGACAGGAACCTATCCAAACTTGCAAGTCTTGAGTAATATAGCCACAATTACAGTAAAAACTGTGAGAGGTCTATCTAAAAACCACTTCATACAATGTCAAGTAAAATGAGATCAGAACAAACAGGGCACCAATAAACACAGACCAATATTCAAGTCTCAGGTTGGTTTTTAATATACTAAAATGTGCAGAGACAAACCCTTCGAAGTTCTGACAAGGCAAAACCTGAATTGCTTCTCGAGCACAAAAACCTCATACAGAGATGAAACCACTTCCAGAGACTTGTCAAACTTTGAAAGAAAATCTATGAAACAAGCATAGCATATTAAAGCATATTAAAGCCTAGTCTAATTATCTGTCTTAATTTTTACAACACCCATACAATGAAAGTTTCACTGCATCAATGGCCAAGTATGTTGGTGGTTCCATAATTGTATATGCCTGTTTTAGCTCTGTAGCTTCTAAAACGTGCCCAATCATTGTCTGAACCACACGGCCAAGCTGCAGTATCTGCAGACTTGTAATAGGAAAAGGATCAGTTCTGAACCAGCCTGCATAACCACTTGATTTGATCAAGGGGTTGTGAAATATTCCATGTGGATCAAGAGGAATCCATTACTGTTAGGATCTCATTCGGTATGTTGCTTACATGATAGAATGGATAACCTTACATCTCAGCCCCAACACATCTCACAGAAAACAAGGGAACTTATAATACTACTAGTAGATACTACTGTACATAAAAAAGTTTCACTTTCTGCAGTTGTTTATATTTTAAAAGTACAGCTACTTAAAATATTCCTTTATTTTAATGCTGCATATTCCAAATATTTGGTATACTATATGGGATGGAATATTAGGAAACCTATGATCAACCTCTCAAGAAAGTACATACTTTAATAGAAAATAAATTATTCAGAATGTACATATTCTCCTGAGTGCCTCTCTTGTGGGCTGAATATCATATCCCTTAAGAGTCCATTCTATAGTCAGTGTGTACTCATGCAAATATGACGTCTTTTTGACAAACCGCTTAATTCATATAAACTAACAAGACAAACTTTTTTATTTTAATCTTTAATCTTTTTTGTTCTTAATATTGACGACATTAAGATTGGACATATTTGTTTTAAAGGAGAAAATAATGGACGTACAGTATAATGTCTATATACAGTAGATTTAAAAGTTCCAAGTTTTCTTAAAACAAAGCAAAAGTAAAATGACTTTGGAGTTTAATAATCCACTGCACTAATTTAGCAAGCCGCCTGTGAATTTGGAGGCAAAGGCAAAAAAAAAAAGCTGTACCGTTCAGCACTGGAGAACAAACACTAAATCACTTGTACCTCACAGTGGGTACAGGAAACGTCTTAGAGCGCCTTTTAAATCTGGATCCCACACGTGAAGAGGAAAAAAATCGATCGGCTTAGTTGTGGCATCATTTCAGTCGACACAGATGCAAAGTGATTTTCAGTGCGGAAGTGATAATTTGGTAATAATATAATTTAATTCCGCGAAAGGACAGATTTAAAACTGATTTTAAGAACCATGTTATACTGATGAAAATACTAATCCAAATGTGCCATTTAGAACGCTGGATAGTACATCTAAAAAGGCTGAAAACTGCACATCAGCTACAAAGAAAACGGTGATAAAATCTGTGGAGCCGAACCTAATTGTTCTTCCACGACGTGGGTAAAGTAATCAAATGGCTCCATGAAGATTACTTAAATACAGCCTGTACATTCCAGGATTATTCTTGTCAATTATGTGACGTTTATTTGCGTTTCTTCTTTACCGTTTATCAAGTCGGGCTCATCGACATGTAAATAAAGTCGAGTGCAATAACTCTTGAATCAAACAAATGAATCGCAGTAAAATCTCATCTGTCATGTGTTGAATCTGAATAGAGTTTTCATTGAATCTCGGTAATTACCTGGGATTGTCAACTATGAACAACTGCAAAATCAACACAAATACAAACGATAGAAAGGGGAAAAATACTAAGAATTTTCTTAATTGGAAAATTTAATTTTATACACTCACAATGTCTCAATTCATGTCTCCACTTGTTAGATTTAGCAGATTTAACCCAATCATAGTAGTTTATGTATCTGTAAACACTAGTTACATCCATGCACCACAAACAAACACTGTTGCTCTTTTACAAAATTTTACAAAATTGCATAAATACTCGAGTCGAGCACATTTAAGAGACGAGTTTCCCTAAAAAATAAGTTTGTTACAAACTTGCTAAAACGTTGCAGTTTTGACTTACCGGTGACTAACTTCGCTTACTGATTCTACATGTTCCAATGGGTCTCCCGGCCGGCAGATAAGACAGTACGGGGGCCCTGTTAAGTCGTTTCCCTTCCCTGATGTGGATTAAGGCAAGTTCTCAGCGATTCAGATATGGTTCTAATCAGATGTTGGCAGCAAAGAACTGCCCAGGAATGCGCTGTGATGTTGCTGCAGCCTGGGCCGGGTTACTCCCCCACAGTGTGGAGCTGCTGCTATTTAAGTATTTTAACCCACTGTGCGCCATACCTACTCCAAAATGCTTCTTTTACCGTCTTTAGCCGCTCACTCAAAGGCGACTAAACCTGAGACTTATAGTTTAGTAACATTTAATAAAGTAGTTTTCTTTTTAGAAGTAGGTGCTAAGTTAAAACCTTTTTAAAGTCAATTTCACAAGTTCTTTTTTCTTATATTGAAGTAGTTCATTCATGTTCTAAACTTTAGGTAATCCGAAACTAAAAATAAATGGAGGTTCAATACCTACTGCATTTGCAATTAAACCTTCACAAATATACGCAGAGCAGTGGCTCTGTGGCTAAGGATCTGCGCCTGTGGCTGGAAGGTTGCTGGTTCAAATCCTGCAGCTGGTAGGGGAATCCTACTCTGTTGGGCTCCTGAGCAAGGACCTTCACCCCAACTGCTCCAGGGGTGCTGTACTATGGCAGACCCTGTGCTCTGACTCCCAGCTTCTCTCCCTGTCTGTGTGTCTCATGGAGAGCAAGCTGGGGTATGTGAAAAGATAATTCCTAATGCAAGAAATTGTAAAGGGTTAATAAAGTAATGTTATATCAGCCATTTTTTTTTACCGCTTTACGGTATAAGGTGTAGGTTTAAAAAAGTTAAGTACCTGTATTGATCTTTAGATTGCTTTTTAATTAACCATGTCCTCAAGTAACATTTAGATTTGTGGCTGTTTACCTACAGACACCTACTGTATAACTACAAGAAGAATAAATTGTAAAAAGGAAAAGTGCATCAGTGACCGATAGCACGTAATCTGTGCTTCATACTGTATTTGTACTGTCTACACTATAAATTGAAGAAAGCATAGTTTCCTACTGAAGCACGAGTATCCAAACAAAATTATTATTTTATAGTGTGTGATGTGGATGCCTAGTTTATAAAGATGTAACATACTGTAATATCTGTCATTCAAGCATCAGCATATACAGTACAGTACTGTAGGGACAATATTATACTGTACATGTTGCTCAAAAAGTGGTTATATCAACACCTACTGAGTGACTCATCCCTCACTGGCTTAAAAAGTACATTCCTTCTTTTTCCAGGAAAAATGTTGAAATCCATTTTTGAAATATGCAAACAGAAAAAAGTGTTTGAATTAGAAACATTATAATTACAGTTACCTTGCAAAATAAATTCACCCCCTTCCAATCTTGTCCTGTTTTGCTGAATTATAAAACATGTACAGTACATCTTGCCAATGCAAATAATTTAAATCAAAATTTGAATGCTCAAAACAAATATTTGTATGGGTGAAAAGCCCAAAACTGCAAGTTACCAAGAACCGCAAAGAAGAATCAAAAACTAAAATGAATATTGCATAAGTATTCACCCCATTTGTTATGTCAGGCCTAAATTATTCCAGATGCAGAAAATTACTTTGAAAAGTCTCACAACTATTTGAATAGCCTCTGTCTGTGTGCAATTGTAGAGGTTCACACAATTTCAGAATAAATACACAAGCCTCTGTAAGGTCCCTCAGTAAATTTCAAACAAAGATTCAACTATGAAGATTAAGGAAATTTCAAAATAACATGGGGATAGGGTAGTAGAAAGGCACAGATCAAGAGAAAAGTAAAAAATGTCAAAGCATGGTGAAGTCAATCATTAAGAAACTGAAGGCATATTGTACAACCCAGACACTGTCTAGATCAACCTGTCCTACCAAAATGAGCAGCTGTGCAAGGAGGAAACTGGTTAGGGATGTCACTCTGAGGCCAACAACTTTGAAAAAAGTATTTTAGTTCGATGTCCATGAGAGAAAATAGTCCACAATTTACTGGTCAGTCTACCAAACTAGCCTAGTGTACATTAAATTGCAGAATGACATGAAAGAAATCATAACTGAAAACAATTTCACCTCAGATCCCACATGACATTTGCTATACAACATTTAAACAGTACTACAGTCATGTGGTACTGTAAAAAGGTTTTGTAGTCAGATAAGTCAAAATCTGAACTTTTTGGTCAAAGTGCAAAATGATACATTTGTCACGAACCACACACTGTGCATCACCTAGTCAACACTATCCCTGCTCTGGAGCATGGTGATGTCAGCATTATGTTATCGGGCTCCATGGCATCAGGAGAGAAGAGGAAGCTTCTGAAGACTGAAGGGAAAATGGCTGAAGAGAAGTACAGACAAAAAAAAAGGAAAACGTAAATCTGAAAAAAACAAACAAAAATGTTGCCTTTCAGCAGGACAGTGACCTAACACAAGGCCAGAACTGCTCTAGAGCGACTTGATCCTAGAACGTCACATCCTTGAGTGGACCGTCTTCGGCAAGACTTGAAAGTTTTTCATCAATACACCCCAACTAACTTAACCAGGTTTGCGAAAAAGAACGAGTGAAAGTCCTGTATGGTTGGTAGAGACTTCAATAAAATGTCTCACAGATGTAGCTGCTGCCAAAAAGTGCTTTCATCTATTGCTTTACATCACTCCAGAGGGGGTGAATACTTAGGCAATCAACATATTTTAGTATTGGATTTTTCTTGGCAATTTCTGATGACATTTATCTTCTTTTACCCATAGAAATGTCCAGTTTGAGATTTTACATTTTGATTTAGAATATTACTTTAAATATGTGTATATAGATCATTTATAATTCAGCAAAAAGGGACAGTGTGGGAGGGGGGTGAATAGTTTTGCAAGGCACTGTTTACCTTATACCAAGACATAGTCCATCATTAATGGTGCCAGTTGTGGATTTGGATGAAAAATTAATAAAAACGTTTAAAGAGCTGAGAAATTTAAACTGATTTACTGTACATTACTGTACTGTACAACCAGTGTCCTGATTGTTTGTTGGGGGTGGAGTGGTGGCACTGTGGCTAAGGATCTGTATCTGTGGCTGGAAGGTTGCTGGTTCAAATCCTGTGGCTGTTGGACCCCTGATCCCAGTTGCTCCAGGGGTGCTGTACAATGGCTGACCCTGTGCTCTGACCCCAACCTTTTCTCCCTGGTTGTGTGTCTGTCTCTCAGGCTGGGGGTATGTGAAAAAGATTAATTCCTAATGCAGGGAATTGTATATGGCTAATTAAGTGATCTTATCTTCTATTATTAGCAAGCAACAATCTGAAATATAGTGTGCAGTAGCCTGGATTGATTTTGAAAAAATATTTATATTTATAAACAAAAAATAAGCACCTTCAATATGCTAAAGATTTTTATTGCTTTAAATATGAATGTATTGAATGGATAATTATTACTTTATCAGACTTTGATATTTGGAAAATGGGGAAGCTGTTTAACATGCAATGAGTGGCACAGACTGTCTTGGTGGAACAGAAATTTGAAATCAAGAAAAAATAAATAGAGAGTATGTAAAAGAAACTTGTCAATCATGGTACCCTCTTTTGTGGTATGTAAGTGATCAAAAGGTTGGGCTTAATGGCACAATATCAAATATATTTTTTAGTATCCATAAAATGTTTTCGGAGTGTAACTTGAAAATGAAAAAGAAAATTCTGACCTGTTCAAACATGCTCTGAGATATGAATGTATGGGAACAATATTCTGCCCAAGAACAACTCAATAATAGTGTATACCATGAATTGTTGAAGAGGTAGATTTGATGAACCTTTAAGGCACTTACAATGCATATTACTTGGAATGATCTTGGGAGACTTTGCTTTTTGTTGGTCTACTACAATCACGTATATTTGGTTAGAGCTAGACCTCTATATCTCTGCAAAGAAAACCACAGACTGACCACATATTAAACAAAGTTAGCTCTTTATCTTATTTTTAGAACATAAAGCCTAGAATATGCTTTAAAGCATGTTGAGGCCCCCTACTGTTTGTATTATGAACATTGATACTGGTTCAACTGTTGTGTGGAATGTTTTGATTTGTATTAATTTCTCACTAAATTTTAAAATAGTAATAATTTAGGCAAGATTTGTTGCCATACACAATACTTTGTGATTTTTAGGTCAGTTACAGCTATTCATTTATTCGTATTTAACAAAGAGATCAGAAAAACACATTGCAGTACCCTTGTTAAAATTAGTGTATGACTCACCTCTAACTCATGTCTGTGCCCCATATTTTTGGAATAAATACATTTCAAAATTTGCACAATGAGTTTTTCAGTGAAACTATGCTGTGATACAAATGAGTTTTTGGAATGTCTGTACTCTGAAGGAAATTAATTGTTCCCCAAGTCAAAGTTATGTTTAAAAACTAGTACATACAACTTAAATTTCTATTACACTCAGCACTAAGGAATGTAATAGATATGTCTTTGAAACATATGGTAACAATTATGAAAGACATTTCTAAGGGACTTTGAAATGTTATGATTTCAGCATATGGCAGCAGAAAAGAACATACTGAATGCCATAATTTTCTCGCAGCTCTCCAGTACTTTAAATATATCAAAACCTAGTTTTTAAGCAAGACACTACCACAAAAAGTAAACATGACAAAATAAACAGCTTGTAAGGTAGGGTTGATAAGCTGCCAAACAAGTAGTATTTTTTAGTAAATTTCTCTCCTTCTGTAGTTGATTTTTAAATGATTGTGATTGTAAAATAGTTTTTTGTAGTATCTTCTTGCCAAGATGTGATATAAATGACATAATTACATCATATGCAATTACCAAACTGTTCCTGGCAACATATTCAGACAGTAGGCCCACAAATACTATACAGGTGCCATGTAGCCATTACTCCTTGGAAAGTGTATTGTCACTGTGCTTTATGCTGACCCTACCATGTCACCTGGTTCCTTCCTCATCTTTTATGAAGCTGAGTTGAGGTCATAATTTATTGTCTCTCTATCAAGCAGTAGCATCATCTTACTTAATCTTTTAAATTACCTTCCTCCTGCACTTGCTAGTCCAGGCTGTGTACACAGCCAAGAATTCTTCCAGGGTCTTTTGGGCTCTGTGGATTTTGAAACTTTTTAGAACTAGTG